AAACATTGAAAATAAACATGCAAACGTAAAATAATTATAATGTAATCGATATCGTATCATATATCATTATCACATAAAGGTTCATCGAACATGCAAAAGTTCGAAATTTTTGCATTCAATTGAGAGAAACATATTGAACAAATGCATCATCAAGAATTTACCGCGGTGTTTTGTGTTATTCCAGAAGGTTCTTGGAAATGTTTTTAGTTTCAAAATATTCCATTTTATTGTTTCATCGATAATATAGTTTTGATATTGTTGGAAAAGATAGTAAGGGAATTTGAGATGATGATATAGCTGGAATGGGATAAAAAGTGAGATAAGAGGAGAGATTGAGTTTTACTACTCAGGATTGTGCCACATATTGCTTACAGATGTTAGCAGTGATCGTAAACAAAGGTTCAACAATGAAGAATAAAAGGGTTGTTGAGAGGGAATTCAAGAACGAGCAAAAGAAACTCTTAATTCTCGACCTCGACCAGAATTTTTCTCCAGAATTAAACTTCAAAGAAAATAAGCCGAAAGGCAGGAAATCATCAAAATTGTACCCAGATGTTGAAGAAGCATGGGCATTGGCGATATGGCATGGGTGACTGAAGATGTTTTATCACCAGAACTGTATCAGTGAGAAAATTGTTCTGCTGCATTACACTTTTCTTTATAAATCTTTTACAACCAATTTGCAGTATCTGCTAATACAAACAGGAGAAGGTCGTACCGTAACCTTTCAATACAGTAATAAACCACTTCACCAAACAAGAGTCATTCGTTACAGCTCTTCACAAACATTGATTGCAGAACCTGATATCAAATGTGCAGCAAAGTACATGGATTTACCGGTCTATTCGAGATGACAATCTTTGAGAGTATATCTTCCCTCATAAAGCGCCATCAGTTCACAGTTCCCTTCTTTTCATTGTCTTAATAGGTTTCGGAAAAATTATTTCATAATTTAAGAAGTTTGCCGCGACAGCTATCGCTGATTTCCACTTCAAATGCTTTTCTTTGTACACAAGAAACACTCATTATATCCAAATGAGAATTTACTTTTTTTACATGTTTTTACCCAAAAATGTTTTCACCTCTAATTATATCCAAAAACTTCACTTTTCAGAAATTTACTTTTTTTTAACAATTAATTGGTGAGTATGGTATAAGTAATAGTTTACTTTGATAAGCATTATTATCATTGCTTTTGCTTTTAAAATACTAATAGTAACAGCTAATTTTCCTCAAGTAACAGCTAATTTTCCTCTTTTTTC